TCTTTAGCGCCAGGTTCACTTTTGATGTGTGCAAAACTGCGCAGATTTTCGCCACACACAAATAAAATGTTGTGGTGCGGTGCAATTAAAAAGAAAAAGGGGGTCATGCACTTTGTGTTCACACATAGGGCTGCCCATTGAAATGAATAGGCTGCTCTAAATGTTATGTGCAAAAAACAAAGGTGCACATACCTGCGTAGCAGGTGAATGGAGCCTATAAAAAGTACTTACCTTTAAATGCAGAAGATACTGTACATGTGGGCTGCCAGCTTCCAATAAAGGCCAAGCCATGTTCTGCTGGCACATGTGCCCTGTAGCCCTGTTAAACAAGCTCTTCTCAGCTTGTGGCCTGCCCGTCTCGGCGCAGGCTTCCCCTAGGCCTGCCCGTCTCGGCGCAGGCTTCCCCTAGGCCTGCCCGTCTCGGCGCAGGCTTCCCCTAGGCCTGCCCGTCTCGGCGCAGGCTTCCCTAGGCCTGCCTGTCTCGGCGCAGGCTTCCCCTAGGCCTGCCCGTCTTGGCGTATGCTTCTCGGCTCATGCTTCCCGTATCGCCGTCCGGCTCGGCGCAGGCTTCCCCTAGGCCTGCCCGGCTCGGCGCAGGCTTCCCCTAGGCCTGCCCGGCTCGGCGCAGGCTTCCCCTAGGCCTGCCCGGCTCGGCGCAGGCTTCCCCTAGGCCTGCCCGTCTCGGCGCCGGCTTCCCCTAGGCCTGCCCGTCTCGGCGTATGCTTCTCGGCTCATGCTTCCCGTATTACTGTCTAGTTCGGCACATGCATCCCCTAGGCCTGTCCGGCTCGACGCATGCTTCTCGTAGACCTGTCCAGCTCAGCGCATGCTTCCCAGCTCGGCTCATGCTTCCCCTAGGCCTGTCCGGCTCAGAGCACGCTTCCCCTAGGCCTGTCCGGCTCAGAGCACGCTTCCCCTAGGCCTGTCCGGCTCAGAGCACGCTTCCCCTAGGCCTGTCCGGCTCAGAGCACGCTTCCCCTAGGCCTGTCCGGCTGGGCACATGCTGCTCGGCTCATGCTTCTCGTATCGGCATCTGGCTCAGCACATACTTCCGGCTTGGCTCATGCTTCCCATATCGCCATCTTGCTCGGAGCATGCTTCCCCTAGCTTTGTTTAGCGCATGTGTCTGTTGTTCAGCTTGATATGTGCCTTGTAGTTTGGCTTCCCCCTAGGCCTGTCCGGTTCTGCACTTGCTTCCCGTATCGCTGTCTGGCTTGGCGCATGCTTCCCCTAGACCTGTCCGGCTTGGAGCATGCTGCTTGGCTCATGCTGCCCGTATCACCATCTGGCTCGGTGCATGCATCCCCTAGGCCTGTCCAGCTTGGCTCATGCTTCCCATATTGCCGTCTCGTTCGGCGCATGCTCATCCCCTAGGGCCTGTCCGGCTTGGCTCATGCTTCCCATATCGCCGTCCGGCTCGGCGCATGCTTCCCCTAGGCCCGTCCGGCTCGGCGCATGCTTCCCAGGTCGGCTCATGCTTCCCGTAGTTGCCATCTTCCCCTGGCCTCGGTTCGCTTCCCCTAGACCCGTCCGGCTCGGCGCATGCTTCCCCTAGAGACCCTGGCTTGGCGCATGTCCGGAGCATCGGCGCATGCTTCCCCTAGACCCGTCCGGCTCGGCGCATGCTTCCCCTAGGCCCGTCCGGCTCGGCGCATGCTTCCCCTAAGCCGTCCGGCTCGGCGCATGCTTCCCCTAAGGACTGTCCGGCTTGGCGCATGCTTCCCCTAGGCCCGTCCGGCTCGGCGCATGCTTCCCCTAGGCCCGTCCGGCTCGGCGCATGCTTCCCCTAGGCCCGTCCGGCTCGGCGCATGCTTCCCTAGGCCCGTCCCCCTATCCCGTCCGGCTCGGCGCATGCTTCCCCTAGGCCCGTCCGGCTCGGCGCATGCTTCCCCTAGGCCCGTCCGGCTCGGCGCATGCTTCCCCTAGGCCCGTCCGGCTCGGCGCATGCTTCCCCTAGGCCCGTCCGGCTCGGCGCATGCTTCCCAGGTCGGCTCATGCTTCCCGTATCGCCATCTGGCTCGGCGCATGCTTCCCCTAGGACCGTCCGGCTCGGTGCATGCTTCCCAGGTTGCCTCATGCTTCCCGTATCGCCATCTGGCTCGGCGCATGCTTCCCCTAGGCCTGTCCGGCTCGGCGCTTGCTTCCCCCGGCTTGGCGCTTGCTTCCCGTATCGCCATCTGGCTTGGCGCATGCTTCCCCTAGACCTGTCTGGCTCGGCGCATACTTCCCAGCTCGGCTCATGCTTCCTGTATCGCCGTCTGGCTCGGCAAATTTTTTCCCTAGCTTTGTTTAGCGCATGTGTCTGTTGTTGAGCTTGACATGTGCCTTGTAGTTCTGTTCAGCTTGGCACGTGTGTCATATAGCACTGTTTATCTTGATGATTGTAACCCTGTTCAGCTTGGCGATTTCCTTTTGTAGCTCCATTCAGCTTGGCATGTGTGCCCATAGCCTCCTTCAGCAGAGTGTGCACCCCATAGCCCTATCCAGTGACGTGTACCCCCATAGCCCTGTTCAGCTTGGCATGTTTGCCCTTAGCTCTGATCAGCTTGGTGCATGCACTCCATAGCCCTGTAGGCTGCTATTGATTTCCGCCACTCCTGTCAGTGAGAATCCTTTACAGCTAATAGGGCTACAGGGCGCTTATGTCAACCTAAAGACATGATGTCTCAGCACTCGTATCTCTGGGGAAAACCAACTGCTAGTTTTTGATTTAGGGTCCTTTTACAAATTATGTGTTAGGCTGCATTGGGCAGCATTGACCATAGAGAGGGCATTTTACCTTATATCGTTTACTGCTGTTTACACCAACATGCTGCTTTTGTGTGCGATGAAAATAGTAGGACATGATTTTTCAGCAGCTCAGTGTGTTGTCTTTATAACATGCCTGCTGGTACGTGTCATGTACAGGTGGCATGATGCATTTTAACAATGCACCGCGCCACCACAAAACCACTTATGTCAGCGGGCGCACGTTATACAGACCATCAAGCATGCCTGTTGGTGCGAATGGATGCTCAATCAGAAAAATTGTAGAGGGCCAGTAGAAAAACAATGTATTTATTTATCCTTTTAAATGTAATGGTGATTTTTTTTTTTTTTTTTTTAAACTCTTCATAAAGTAATTGCCTGTTGATCCTGCCAGGTTCTGTGCACTTATTGTAATGGCCACACTAGTTCTGGTGACCCTGGTGAGAACCAGGGATTCTGTCGCTTTGGAGGGATTTCTTTTGATCTCCTGTTTTGCTGACAGGAAGTGAAGGGAAATTTCCCAATGGGTCACAGATCGCAAAACAACCTGACGGATTATAACCCTTGCTTATAATATCCAAAATGAAAAAAATCTTTTTACCTCTAATTCTGCTTCAAGTTACAAAAGAGTTTACATTTCAGTCAGGTTTATGTGTTTGTTTGTGATCCCATTTGAGAAGATTTTACCTCACTGTTTTTACAGCTGCTGTTTTTGGCTTTTGATGTTTTTCTCTACAGGCAGTAAACTCTCCAGCATGTTATCCTATGTGTCTATGTACACATAGAATGTAATCAATGTTTTTTAGCAGGGATGTTTTTGGCTGCAAAAAAAAAAACCTAGAACTAGTGGGTTTCTAGTTTTTTAGCTGTAAAAATGCTCTAACGCTGAAAAAACGTGGTAAATCGCAGCAAACCGTTTTTGAACTTTTTTTTTTTACCAAAAAAACTCTAAAAACCGCAAATGTGAAAAAATGTGGCAAACAGCCGCTAAACTCTAATACAAAAACGCTAAAGAAATGCTGAAAAACTCACGTTTTTAATGTGACTTTACACAGCTAACGATACCAGCATTATTAAAACGTCCAGTGTGCGTGGAGCCTAAAGGCTTAATTTTTCATATATAAAGAAGTTCTTTCTTGCTAGTTCTACGAGTCGTTTTTTGTCCTCTCTAGTAGCTCTGGCTGTAATATTTGGCTTCAGGGTGGTTCCTGCCCCTGAAAGGTTCTATGGAGCCACACTTGCATATGCACTTCTGGCCTTGACTAGTGCTGGTGTGAACCCATACAAGCACACAGCCCATTCCAGCCACTCCCCTCCCCCATACTCTAAGCTGATTGGCTGCTGTTCTCTGTGACCTGGGTGAGTGTGTGCGCTCTCACAAAAGGAAGTTCAGAGAAGCTGCACTGAGGAACCCAGCTACATAGGTACTAGGTAACTGCATGTTAAGACCAAACTCACACTAGTGCGTACTTTTTTGCATTGTTGCACTTTGTGAGTAGGGCAGCCCTTTAATTTTAATGGACTGCCCTACATGCGAAAAAGAAGCTTATGTATCTTTTTGCTTGTTCTTCTCTTTCACTGCTTTTTTGAATGCACAAGAAAGTACCCTTTAGCACATTTGGGGTCTCATTATGGCAGTGCATATGTGCCAATCATTTTTTTTTTTTTTTTGTTCCATGTATATGTGAGAGTTGTCGTGCTACTAGTATAAATAGCTTCTAAGCAGTGGAGGATGTTAACCATAGCTCCTGGCATGCGTAGATTAAAAAAGAAATAGGAAAGTTTTTAATACTTTAACTTTCTAACCCCTCCTCTTTACTTTTTGTCTATGTCCCAATTAAAGAGATTTTCCACCACTTCCTTTCCTGAGAGGAAGTGCAGGAAAAACTTAACAGGAACACAAACCACAATAAAAACCCCATCCATCCAAAAAAATAAAAATGTTTTGCTCTAGTTGAAATTTAACTGCCTCCCACCTGCCATATAAGGCAATGACGGGCGCAAGGCGGTTCTCTCGTCCGGGAGCGCGCGCAGCACGGCGATCGGTGGTACTCTGTGTCCCTCGGACACAGTGGATCACCGATCAATGGAAAGAGCCGAAGATTTCGGCTCGGTCATGTGATCAGCTGTGTCCAATCACAGCTGATCGCATGTAAATAGTGAAATGCTGGTTATCGGCATTTGTCTTCTCACAAGCTGTCACGCTGACAGCTCGAGGGGAGAGCCTGTAATCGGCATTCCTCGGAGGGGACATATACACTGATCATCAGGGCACTGATGATCAGTGTAGCCCCAGCAGTGCCAGCTGTCAGTGCCCATCAATGCCAGCTGTCAGTGCTCATCGTGCCACCTGCCAGTGCCCATCAGTGCCACATCAATGCCACATATCAGTGCCTACCAGTGCACATCAATGCAACATATCAGTGCCCATCTGAGCTGCCTCTCAGTGCCGCCTATCAGTACGCGTGAGTGCCACCTGTCAGTGCCGCCTATCAGTGCCATATATGAGTGCTGCCTTTCAGTGCCCATCAGTGATGCCTGTCAATGCCCATCAGTGCCACCTACCACTGCCTCCTCATCAGTGCCAATCAGTGCCACCTATCAGTGTCCATTAGTGCAGCCTATCAGTGCCCATCACTGCAGCCTCATTAATGCACATCAGTGAAGGAGAAAAATCACTTATTTGCAAAATTTTAAAACAAAAACCTTTTGGTTTGTTTAGCAAAAAATAAAAAACCCAGAGGTTATTAAATACCACCAAAAGAAAGCTCTATCTGTCTCAAAATAATTATAAAAATTTAATATGGGTACAGAGTTGCATGACCGCGCAATTGTCATCCAAAATGCGACAGTGCTGAAAGCTGTAAATTGGCCTGGGCAGGAAGGGGGTATAAGTGCCCAGTAGGCAAGTGGTTAATAAAGGCATGGCTAAGCCTCATGTACATGGCCATAATAATATACTCTAAACTAGGGCTGGATCGATAATTTTATTTTATTTTTACTGGCGAGTACGAGTACCAATACCTTTGCAGTGCGATATGAGCCCTAACAAAATGAATGGGCTCACATCACAATGCAAATAATCCCATTTGATTTGAACAGGAATGCGGTGCATTTCCTGTCTGAATCACATGCTGTTTCCCTGTGGGTGCTTCATTCATTTTGTATGGCTCATATTGCACCCACAGGGAAACTGCATGTGATTCAGACAGGAATTGCACCTCATTACTGTTCAAATTGCATGGGATTCTTTGCAGTGCGATTTGAGTCCATTCATTTTGTATGGGCTCAAATCGCACCGCAGAGGTATTGTTTTTCAGGCATCGGAGCATTAGTACGAATACATGTGCAAATTCTAAGTATTGGTATTGGTCCCTACTCTGAACTGCATCTAAAGTCCTAGATACACACCCGCCTATTGCATATGATGCGTACATTCTGCGCCACTGTTGCATGATTACATTTCTCCCTGACTTTAGTCACACAGTGGCGCAGAATGACCTAGGCCTTTAGTTAGTTGCCCTTATGGTACATGAAGTGCCTTAGCATGTGGCTGGTGTGAATGAAAGCCTAACTCAGGCTTTACTACAACTTTAAGTCTTGGGGGTATGAAGCTTAACACTAACTATTCCTAAAACATTCCCTACCCACTCCTCCTACCTCTCTTGCATACTCTGTATGAAAAAAAAATCTGTTATTTACCTTTTTTAAACCAGTCTGTTCATGTGATCCTGCAGCTCTGGCTCTCCTGTGTAAGGAAGTGCTCGACAATGGATGTGAATCCTGGGAGCGGTTGTTGTGTCACTGATACAAAGGAGCCAGAGCTGCAGGATCATGTGACCGAAGCAGATTAAAAATGGGTAAGTGCACTTATTTATAAAGGATAGGTAGGAGGAGGGGGAGGAAATTTTTTTCCAATATACATAACTTATTTCTAGCTGGTACTTTTTGTTTAGCATTGGAGGCCCACAATGCTGCATAGATACAGTGGATATAAAAGTCTACATGCCCCTGTTAAAATGTCAGGTTTTTGTGATCTAAAAAAAATTAGACAATTATAAATCATTTCAGAACTTTTTCCACCTTTTAATGTGACCTATAAACTGTACAACTCAATTGAAAAACAAACTGAAAATTTCCAGGGGTGGGGGGGGGGGGGGGGGGGGGAGTAAACATAAAAAACTAAAATAATGCGGTTGCATAAGTGTGCACACCCTCTAATAACTGGGGATATAGCTGTGTTCAGAATTAAGCAATCACATTCAAAATCTTGTTAAATAGGAGTCAGTACACACCTGCCATCATTTAAAGTGCCTCTGATTAACACCAAATAAAGTTCAGCTGTTCTAGTAGGTCTTTCCTGACATTTTCTTAGTTGCATCCTACAGCAAAAGTCATGGTCCGCAGAGGGCTTCCAAAGCATCAGGGGGATCTCATTGTTAGAAGGTATCAGTCAGGAGAAGGGTACAAAAGAATTTCCAAGGCATTAGATATACCATGGGACACAGTGAAGACCGTCATCATCAAGTGGAGAAAAATATGGCGCAACACTGACATTACCAAGAACTGGATGTCCCTCCAATATTGATGAAAAGACAAGAAGAAAACTGGTCTGGGAGGCTGCCAAGAGGCTTAAAGCAACATTAAAGGAGCTGCAGGATTATCTGGCAAGTACTGGCTGTGTGGTACATGAGACAACAATCTCTTGTATTCTTCATTTGTCTGGGCTATGGGGTAGAGTGGCAAGAAAAACATCCAAGCCCAGCTATTTTGCCAAAACACATCTGAAGTCTCCCAAAAGCAGGTGGAAAAATATGTTATGGTCTGATGAAACGAAGGTTGAACCTTTTGACCATAATGCCAAAAGATATGTTTGGCGCAAAAACAACACTGCACATCACCAAAAGAACACCATACCCACAGTGAAGCATGGTGGTGGCAGCATCATGCTTTCGGCTGTTTTTTCTTCAGCTGGAACTGGGGCCTTAGTCAAGGTAGAGGGAAATATGAACAGTTCCAAATACCAGTCAATACTGGCACAAAATCTTCAGGCTTCTGCTAGAAAGCTGAACATGAAGAGGCACTTCATCTTTCAGCATGACAATGACCCAAAGCATACATCCAAATCAACAAAGGAATGGCTTCACCAGAAGAAGATTAAAGTTTTGGAATGTCCCAACCAGAGCCGGGACCAGAATCCAATCGAAAATCTGTGGAGTGATCTGAAGAAGGCTGTGCACAGGAGATGCCCTTGCAATCTGACAGATTTGGAGTGTTTTTGCAAGGAAGAGTGGGCAAATATTGCAAAGTCAAGATGTGCCATGCTGATAGACTCATACCCAAAAAGACTGAGTGCTGTAATGAAATCAAAAGGTGCTTCAACAAAGTATTAGTTAAAGGGTGTGCACACTTATGCAACCATATTATTTTGTACAGTTTATAGGTTACATTAAAGGTGGAAAAAGCTCTGAAATAATTTCTTTGTCTCGTTTTTTTTACATCACAGAAACCTGACATTTTAACAGGGGTGTGTAGATTTTTTATATCTACTGTAGATGCTTATGTTGTGACAGGTGACAATGCAGCATTCTACTGGGAGCTGAGGTTGTATGATGTTGCACCCCTAGGGGGTATGTTATCAATAGCTTGAGCTCATAGGTGGTGCCCCAACTCAGAAGAAGAGCGATGGAAGAGGATGCAGAGAGCAGGGCTGGATCGTGAAGTTGGCATGTAGTGGAAATATTACCTTGGGTTGCTAAAGCAGATCTCCAGCCAGTGGAGAAGGGTTAGAACCTCTGTTTCCATTATTGCATGTGCTCTAATTGGGGAGTTTTTTTTTTTCTCGCTCCTTGTGTAGTTTTGCAAAATTTCTTTATCGGGGATACAAAACTTGATACAGTGTTTTTTTATTTTATGTTTAGTGACACAGAGAAGGGTTTGAATGCTTATTAGATTTTGTCTGTGCACAATTGATGAGATGTCTGTCCTGTCCTAAAAACTGGTGCCTCCAAGCCAAAAAGTGACAATGAAAACCCACAAACAGATACGGTGCACAAAATGTGGAAGATTGCCAAATAAAAAGGTTAAAAAGAAAAATGTTGTGGATAAAAGCAACCTGGACATGTCACTATGCACTATGCAAACAGGGCTCTAATTAAGAAAAAAAAAAAAGCGGCTTTTATCCCTGTGAAAAGGGTCAGACTGATTTTGACCCCTTAGACACCATTCAACTGCTTAAGATGAAAAGTTGTCTTCACGCTGTATGCATGTAACCCCTAAGTGCTCATTCAGATGGGTGTCAAAAAAGTCACATACAGATGCATAACGTTTTGCATGCAGCAGTATAGAAGGCTATGGGGCCCATTCACACAGCTGCCTCTGGCAGTGTAATGTTGTGCTGTAGTCTGAAATGTAGAAAAATACATTGGAATAAAGCTGTGTTTGGGACCAAATTTGGAGCGATTACACTGTACGCATGTAAATGTCTGTGCTATCATCTACATGTGTACACCACAAAGTGAGAAAATGCTAGCAAGAATTATTTTTTTTTTTTTTGCAATAAATGCTTATCTGTCTGCTGGAAAACTTCTTTAGAATATAGGCTAAGCTGTACTTGCGCAGATACCAGAGTATCTTGTATGCTTTCGTGCCGGGTGAATCAACTTGAGTGCACATGTGTGGGGTGCGTCATCCCATGCCCGCCGAACATGCTCAACTCAGAAGACCATGTGAAAGTGTCTGCGGTGGCAAGGGAGCTTGCAAACATTGCATTACTGGAGCAGACTGCAGACTTTGGTTCCTTTTTAACTTTTCTAGATTTACTTTTACTTGGATATATATGGAAAAAAAAAAGCTGACCAGTTTTAGCCTTGAGTTTTATCGTCTACATATTCTTCTGTAGACTGCAATGTGATACTGAGAAGTGGACAAAGTGGTGGGGTGTATGAACTTACCTGTAATATGCCAAAACGATTGTGACCATGGTGGCATTGTTTAGGTGGTCCAAGTATGACTCCATTCCAGTTTTTTTTTTTTTTTTTTTTTTTAGTTTTAGATGAAGTTGTGAAAGGTACGAACCCCTGTTCACGTCCTGTCCTCCTGACAACATCTCTACAACAGCAACACAGATAGAAATAAAAATGATTTTAGCAGAGTAAGGAAATGTTAGAACCCCTGACAGAATTGTGTGCTTGTCTGTGTCCCTTTTGTACATTTTCCCTCACTTCCTATCTGGTGAACCTGTTGTCAGCAGAACAAGGATTGAGTATAAATTAGCAGTAAAACCAGGCAGGACATCTATTTTTTCCACTCAGTTTGAAAATGGGGAAAAAAACATTACATACACTTTAAAGTAGAATTCAGGCAAAATCTTAATACTCTTAAAAATGGTTCCTCCCCCTCTGGTCTGGTACATGATCCATTTCCCCTGTGTCAGCCAGCAGCAGCTGCAGGGGGAGGAGGGAGCCCCAATACTGGATGGGCCATAGGAGCCTATGGGTGATGTTGCTGCTCCCAGGAATTGTCAAGCACACTCTGCAGTTGGTGCTGGCTGACACAGGGGAGATCACATGTGGAGCGGCCTGAAAACAGGTAAGTGTACAGATCTTTCTTACACAGGTTAGTCAGGATAGGTGTTAGTAGGGGGAGGGAGCATTTTTAAGAGTCGTTAGGTGGTAGCCTAGAGTTCTACTTTAACTGC